ATTAGGTCATTTGTCTTTTCGGTCTTTACAGAGTCTGTTTCCTGCTTTATTTGAGTCTATTGAGTTGTCTCAGTTACAGTGTGAAAGTTGTGAGTTTGCTAAGCATTGTAGAAAGCCTTATTTATTGAGTAATAAAATGAGTGACAATTCTTTTGATATTGTGCATACTGACATTTGGGGGCCTTATCATATCCCTTTCATGGGTGGGTACGGATATTTCTTGTTATTTGTTGATGATCATACCCGTTTTTCTTGGGTTTATCTCATGCGTTCACGAGATGAGGTACCTTCCTTGACCCAAAATTTTCACCAAATGATCCTAACCCAGTTTGATGTCAAGATCAAAGTTCTCAGATCTGATAACGCAAAGGAATACTTGCTAAATCATTGACATCTTATCTTCTTCATCATGGGGTTATCCACCGAAGCTCTTGCCCTCATACACCTCAGCAGAACGGAGTTGCTGAAAGGAAGAATAGGCACATTTTGGAAGTGGCTAGAAGTCTCATGTTTACTTCCAATGTTCCTATCCACTTCTGGGGTGATGCTATCCTCATGGCGGTATACCTTATTAATCGGGTTCCTTCTAGGGTCCTTGATATGAGATCTCCTTTTTCCCTTCTACACCCTCGTGAGGACTTGTTTTCTATTCCCCTTAAGACATTCGGTTGTACATGCTATGTTCAACTTCTCGAACCCCATCACTCCAAGTTCGAACCCAAAGCCTCCAAATGCATTTTCCTTGGTTATGCACAAACTCAAAAGGGTTATTGCTGCTATGATCCTATCTCAGGGAGGAGGTTTGTCTCCATGGATGTCACTTTCTTTGAGGGGAGAGCAGTGAGAGTGGGGGTTTGAGTCCTTTCCTTGTCCTCAGGGGGAGAGCAGTGAGAGTGGAACAGTTCCTTTACCTATTCCATTGGGTGATGAAAGCTACAATGGTGAGGGTAGTTAGAGGGATCAGGAGTTGAGGGAGAGCTGCAATGATGGTGAGGGTGGTCAGAGGGATCAGGAGTTGAGGGTCTATCACAGGCGGTGCAGGCAGGTTGATTCTGATCATCAGCAGTCCAAGCCAGCTCCAGGTCCAGGTACTACAGTCCCAACCATTTCACCTCCTACAGATGATCTTGACCTTCCGATTGCAGTCCGTAAAGGGAAACGACATTGTACCACATCTATAGCCCACTGTATTTCCCATTTTTTATCCTATGATCGCCTATCTCCTACCTACAGGTCCTACCTTAGCTCCATTTCCAATGTCCCTATTCCAAGAANGAGAGGTATAAAGCTCGGTTAGTTGCAAGAGGGTTTACACAGACTTATGGCATAGATTACTTGGAGACCTTTGCACCGGTAGCCAAGATGACCACTATTCGAGTCCTATTATCCCTTGCAGCAAGTCACACTTGGCCTTTATACCAAATGGACGTGAAAAATGCCTTTCTGAATGGCGATCTGCAGGAAGAAGTTTACATGCGTTTGCCTCCTGGATTCTATGATGCAGAGATAGGTAAGAAGGTCTGTCGGCTCAACAAGGCTTTGTATGGTTTAAAACAGTCACCTAGGGCTTGGTTCGATAGATTTAGACTAGCCCTTGTGAAGTTTGGTTATGTATAGGCGCAGTCAGATCATACCCCTATCAAGAGGGTGGAGTCCTCCTTGACACTACTGGCAGTATATGTTGATGATATTGTGGTCACAGAGAATAATAGCCATGAGATTGAGTCCCTTAAACAGCTCCTTCATCAAGAATTTGAGGTGAAAGACCTTGGTGTACTCTGGTATTTTTTGGGTATTAAGTTTGCTAGATCCAAACAGGGGATCTTTATCTCTCAGAGGAAATATGTCCTAGACTTGTTGGCAGAAACTGGAAAGTTAKGTGTCAARCCTGCAGATACACCAATTGAACAGAACCACAGGATTAGTGCCGAGAGTGGGGAGTTTCTTGAAGACAAAGTTATGTTCCAGCAATTGGTAGGAAAGCTCCTATATCTCTATCTCACTCGGCCAKATATTAYTTWTGCTGTTAGTGTTGTCAGCCAGTACATGCATTCTCCTAGAACCACACATCTTCTTGCAGCAGAAAGAATCTTAGCCTACTTGAAGAGATGCCCGAGTAGGGGTATACTGTTCAAGAACAACAACCACATGAAGGTGGAGGTCTATACAGATGCTGATTGGGCTGAGAGTGTTGATGACAGAAGGTCTACCTCAGGATATTGTGCCATTGTGGGAGGAAACCTTGTTTCCTGGAGAAATAAGAAACAAAGTGTTGTCTCCCGGTCAAATGCTGAAGCAGAATACAGGTCCATGGCCAACGGAGTGGCTGAAATCCTATGGCTAAGATCTCTACTTGAGGAGTTGGGCATTGAGTATGAAAAGCCCTTAATGTTGTATTGTGATAATCAAGCAGCCATTAATATAGCACATAATCCAATGCAGCATGACAGAACCAAACACATTGAAGTTGATCGGCATTTTGTACGAGAGAGGGTCTCATCTCAAGAAGTATGTCTCCCTTACATCACATCCAGTATGCAACTAGCGGACATCCTCACTAAAGCCGTATTAAGAAAGAAGCTAGAAGCAGATCTATCCAAGTTGGGAATGAT